ATTAGAATTAGATTTAGAATTTATAAAAAAAATTAGGAAATATACAGAGTATGAGATTTGATTTCAGATAAGTTAAGAGGTTGTTTTTAGACATTTATAGGCAAAACGTGATTTGGTATGGGCCTTGGTTCTCGTTACTTTAATTGACAAATATATCTTCGACTGTTCTTTTTTCAGGGTTGAAACGAAAATGCTGAGATACATCAAGCCGTGACGTAATTAAGTACATAATGCATCGTAATTAAGTACTTAAAAGTATTCTTATTTATAAAAAAAACTCATTTTTCTAAAATACCAAAAAAAAAATCAAACTCCTTAAACCCTTAATTCCAAACTCCCATTACCGTCGCTGATCATCGTCACTGACGACTACCACTCCAATTCAATTAATGGATAGAGGAGGCAATGAGAAAACATATATTCCGATAGGGGTTCATTGGTAGGCAAGAAATTCATATAAAAGTTTTCTTAACATATTGGTTTTGAGGATTTTTGTGAGATTTAAAGTATTCGGTTTGTGGATTTTTTGCAACATTTAAGGGGAGGTATAATTAAACATTGTTGTTTGTTTTGTTAAGTATTTAAATTTTAAAATTAGAAAGAATGATGATCTTATTTAATTAATATTTAAAGTTTTGGATAAGTAATACAAATTGATTAATTACACTAATAGTTAATATATCGTAATACCTTCTTAAGATGGGACTGCATGAACATAGATAAGTCTCAAAGAATCGATACATGAGAGGACATAGAGCCTTTGTAAAAACATCTACCAATTGACATAGAGCCGCTTGGTTACCGATAAGGATCTTGAAAGCCAAATCAATTCATAAGAATAACTGCCATTGCTCGATATTCTATTATTATGGTAGTTAGTTAGTTAATGAGTTATAGAGGTTAGAACATCTAACTCATCTTGTATTCTTCTTATATGAATGAAAACTAATTTTCATTTTCATCAAAAAAAAATTTAGTTTCTGATGATACAATCACAATAAAAATAAACTAAAAGTTGAAATAGAATATAGACGGAACAAGTTAATGTGGGTACGAGTAGGAATGAACTAAGGTACAAATAGGTGCCTAAAGTTTTATTCGTTATACTTAACGTGTCTAACATTTCCGAAGTTATATTTTTAGTTGCCTAGAGTGCAACGGCTGTTAAATTTGACGTTAAGTGACACGTGTCAGACATATACAATTTTATTTAAAAAATACTTAAAATTAAATTTTATTTTTAAAGAAACTACAATATTTTCTAAAATCATAAAAACCCAAAATCTAAAAAAAAATATTAATTTCAATCCTTTAACACCATCGGCCGCCATCAATGCCAACTGAATACCCAACGCTTTTCGACTAGCTAACCATCAACGATTGAAACTCCTTATTTTTGCGACCAATCAAACACCCAACAGGCGTGTAAAAACAAGATTTTGCAATCGATTAAAGAGGTTCTTCATGCTGTAATCGTCAATTGGTCACTAAAATTAAAGGCTAGAGAAAGATTTCCGATAGTTGAGTGTTCAGTCGGTCTCATTGCATTAGAATTTCGATCTGAAATTAGGATTTTAAGGAAATTTGTTTTTTTATAATTTCAGGAAAATGAGTTTTTTTTTAAAAAAAATTAATTGTTTTTTTTTAGAAAAATAAACTTTTTAAATTCTATAAAAATCAAAACGTGTCACTTAACAGTCGAATTTAATGGTTGTTACAGTCAAATACCTAAAATATAATGTAAAAAATATTAGATACCTAAATATATAACAAAAAAAAATTAGACACATATTTTAACGGAAAACACTTTAAACTTTGTTTTGAAAACCGGACCGGATCGGCTGGTTCAACCGGAAACCGTTGCTTAGTTCGGTTTAATCTAAACCGGTTGAACCGCTATTAGTGAACCGGCCAGAACCGCTGAACCATTCGAACCGGACCGGCTGAAAACCGGAAAAAATCAGAAAAAATCGGGATTTTTGTTTTTTTTTTAAATTAAACCAAACAACGTCGTTTGTTAAACGAGCCAAGTCGAACTCGAGTATTGCTGAGCTCGACTCGAACTTGAAAACTTTAAAAGTAAGCTCAACTCAACTCAAACTCACAAGCTAAAAATTATCAAGTTCAACTCAAACTCGAAATATAATATTGAAACTTGAACTCAAAAAAAAATTAGAAGCTCGATTGAAGCCTAAAATTCGAGCTTGATTGAAGTGAAAGAATAGTTCACTCAATGCTCACCAAAAGGCTCCATGATTTTGAATGCCAAATTACCTCTATTATTTATAGAAGTTAGTTGTGATGCGCTTCTATAATTCTTAGCAATGTGAGATTGTTTTGTTCTCATATTTTCTCTTTAGACTTTTGGGATGCTCTTCTATGTTTCTTAGCCATGTGGGATTGTTTTTAAAAAAATCAAACCAAACAATATCATTTTGTTATGATTTTTTTAACCCCAAATTTATTTTTTAATTATAGTTATATAATTATATTTATTATTTAATATGTTTTACCTTAAATATTATGTTGTAGTTAATTTGAATCATTTTGTTTTACTTGATTTTATGGTTTTTAACTTATATATGTTATGACTTGTGATATAAAAAATTATTTTTTATTAAATATTTTTGGTATTTTTATTTAATTTTTTAAATAATTATAACGTCGTCCATTTTTTCGATCGGTTGGATCAATTAGACCGATTGAACCATAAACTGATAGCATGATCGGTTCACTAACCGGTCCAATTCTGAAAACCATGACTTTAAACACTTAAAATTATCTTTAGGATTAATTTGGGATACTATTTTCCATTAAGCCTAAAAATAAAAGCCCAAAAAAGACAACAACTGCGGCACGCCATTTTCGGGCAGGTGATGCCACCCCTTCAAATATGCCGCGCTGGATTATAACCGCAAAGGTGCACAATAGCAAACCCACTTGTTTTTTTTACTATTATTGTCGTACCCTTCATCTGCGCACCCTCACATTAGCATATTTCGCGTCTCGAGAAACTAGAGAGTTCGCAAAGCTTATTCAGAGTGACAATAAAGCTGTTACCGAGTAACTGATTTGAGTGACTCGGTGAGTTAAGATGGCTACAAGTGAGGCACATGTAACTCGGATAATGTTGGCTGTGAACGAGTCTACCATCAGAGGCTACCCTCACGCTTCGATAAGTAGCAGAGGAGCTTTCGAGTGGACCCTTCAGAAGATCGTTCGATCGAACGCTTCCGGTTTTAAGCTTCTCTTCCTCCACGTTCAAGTTCCCGACGAAGATGGTTTCTCTCTTTCTCCTTTTTTTCTCTCCTAATATGTTTTTGTAGTGAACTTTACATGATGAGATTTCTGTACACGTGTGGTTACTGTTGGTTAGGGTTTGTTGAGTGTGTGAGGCTGCGATTGTTGATTCGCGGCTTGAATTTGAAATTACTTTGGTTTTCTGCTCTTTTAGGTTAAGAAATGTTAATTTGACTTATTATTTCTTGAATAGTTTGTTATGCTGTTTGGTCGCTAAGAAAATTATCTGTTTGGTTACTAAGAAATAGAAAATCAGCAAGTTCACTGTCAACGTAATTGAAACTAAAGGGTTTTTTATTAAATAATGATGTAAATGTATACCTTTGAAAAGGCATTTTCTTTTCAAAATTGGTTGGATAATTAGAATTGATTGGATTTTCTTGAATTTGACCCCTAGCCTTTTAGATGCACTGTTTATGTACCACAATGGCATGCCTAGCTTCAAATGTTTTAAGCTTTGAGTCTGAAACATGATTCCTATGGAAAAACTGGCCTCGAGTGTCAAATTTCGTATGCTTTATTGTTGAGCTTCGAGTGTCATAAAATCAACTGAAGCTATTTAATGTGATGTGCTACTTCTTTCTTTTTGTTTTTATGCAAGGTTTCGATGACATGGACAGCATATATGCCTCTCCTGATGATTTTAAGAGCATGAAGAACAGGGACAGGGCTAGAGGGCTTCATCTGCTTGAATTCTTTGTCACTAGGTGCCATGAAATAGGGGTAATGTTCATTCTTCAAGAAATTATCATTTTTCAATAAAAAGATTCATTTTTACTCGAGGCGTCATGAGATTGGGGTAATGTTAATTCTTCAATAAATTATTATTTTCAGTTGAAAACTGCATTTTACTTGTGGTTTCTTTCCCCAGATAATAGATTTTTCTGATTGTAGGTTGCTTGTGAATCATGGATCAAGAAAGGTGATCCAAAGGAAGTTATCTGCCATGAGGTGAAGAGGATCCAACCGGATCTTCTTGTTCTGGGTAGCAGAGGACTCGGTCCTTTCCAACGGTATGCTTAGTACCCGATGCCTCCAGTCTTTGATTTTTTCCTTGAACTTGTGGGTTGATTTATATTTGCTATGCCAGGGTTTTTGTTGGAACGGTGAGTGAGTTCTGCGTGAAGCATGCTGAGTGCCCTGTTGTAACAATTAAGCGTAGATCAGATGAAACTCCTCAAGATCCAGTAGATGACTGACTCTATTTCAGCACCCCACTATTTGTTGCTTTGAACATTCTGTTAATAGACTTAAAAGTTGTTCCTATTTGATATGTTGGTACGATGAGAAACAGTTTGCTTTTGTTTTGGGCAAAATACGTTGATGTGGATGCGTTTGTTGTATGCAAAAGGACCGCCTTTCATATGAGATGTTTGGTTGAATTACTTGCCAAATTACTAGACCATATGGAAGTTTTTTAAAAGCAATTATGGATGTCATTTGTTTTCCGAATTACCTTTTTACGTATAGAATGTAATGTGGTATTTCAAAAGTTATACACAATCCAACACATTCTAAAAAGAATCAACATCTAAAAGAAAAATCTGATTCCATTCTCCTCAAAAAGTACAAGAATTTGTATCCATGAAAACGTAATTCAACTAACGACAGTTTATGCTCTGTAGCATGTGGTGATTTCAACAAATGCAAATGGCAACTATTAAGTATACTATCCTACATACAAGATCCTAACACCACGTATGTAACATAAGCTTCTACAGATCCCATACATCCTAAAACTGAAGTCATTTTTGCTTAAGTTGACGATTCAACCATTGTGTTTACCACATCCAAGAGCCCTTTTATCTCGCTTTGTATTTTGGACTTGGTGTCTGATGACATCTTCTCATCTGATGTCTCCAGCATCAATGTCAGCATCTCGAGCTTCTGCTTGATGTGTTTAAGCTGCGAATTTCCAGGAGCCGATGACTTGGTTGATCTTTCGGTTCCATCCTTCACTAGAGGAGAAGAGTTTTTGGAACTCGGTATTTCCTTCTGGTTTTGAGCTAACGCAGCCACGTTAAGTCGAAGCCGGAAACTGACATTGGCAGATCCGAAAGGACTATCGTTTTGTGAGCTGCTGAAGGCTTCTTCAGCGTCAGAGGTTCTTAAGAAGACAACACGAGCACAGAAATTATTGTAGAACATATTGGTGTCCTCCATATCCAGTGGTCCATACCTGCTGTATATTCGGATAAGGTCGTCCTTTGTAGGTAATGAGCATCCGGGGCCGAATGTCACAAAGAGGGCAGCAGGTAGATTATTTTCATCAGCTTCCTTATCATTTTTCTTCAAAACTGCAGCCATGACAGTTTGCTTCGGTTTAGGTTTATATGGCTTTGGTTTCTGGGCTTTCTTCAGTGATGCCCAGGTAGCTTCCGCAGGTTTGGATTGATCCATCTTTGTTTCTTCATTCTTTCCAACCTTTTTCTTATGGGATTTATGTCCAGAGGGAACCTGACCAGCCATAGATCGGTCTTTTCCTGATGACACAGTCGAATAGTCTGGAGATTTTCTCTTTTTATGTTGTTGGAACTGATTATACATTTTGTAGTCAGATCCATCTCGGTAAACTGAGCTTCTGAATACAGATAAAAACTCCAGAATAAGTTCGAAAGAGCTGTTTTTCCTTTGGTATTGTAGACTAAGAGCTATAGAACGGACTGCAACTAGAACTTGATCGGCAGGAGTTTCAGCTTTTGCCAGTTCAGTTATCCGGTCAAGGTACAGTTTTGGTGTGAGAGATTTTGATTCAGTCGATGCTTCTTGCTCTGAATGAACTTCTTCAAGGAGTTCATTCCTTTCACTGATAGCAGGATTACCAGTAGCTTTAGTCATCGTCTCTCTGGATCGGGTGTCACTGGAAGCCTCTACGGACTCATCTTCTATGACTGATTTCCTCAGCTTCCCAGTTGAACTAGTGTAAGGAGGAGACAAGTACTTGCTTTTCTTCTTTTCTCTCGGAAAAGTGTCATTCCTACTGATTGCTCCAATGACAGTATTAGTATCTTCTTTCCTTTTAGCCGAGACAGTATTAGTATCTTCTTTGCCCAAATCATCACCGTTATTATCGCTTGCTTGTTTGCTCTTCATTTTCCTTCCTCTTGATGAATAACCCTTATCCGTTTCATCCTTGGCTCCAATGACATCAGTTTCAGCATGAGATCCTGAAAGCTCAGTTTGCTTCCCCTTTCTTGGTAGAATGCTCGAATTACTGCCACCATCAACATTAGCTTTATCATCGCCTTTCGTCTTTTTCCTACGAGAAAGGGAAGCTTGTTCAATGGACTTTGTTACCTTATGAGCCTGAACACCTGTATCAGCTTTTAAGATTTCAGCAATGCTTTTCTGTTTCCTCCTGTGATGCATTACATCCTCTGTAATCTCCGAATTCCTTGAGTAAGTCCGACTCCCTTGGCCAAATTTCAGACCAGACGAAGAAGAAACCCAATCTTTTTCCACTGGCCTAGTGATTGGGTTTTCCACTTCCTCACTATAATCACCCATATCCACCTCAAGAGTTCTAACATTTTCTTCAGTGTCCGGAATCAACAGCAGTTCATGGTCCATCGGCATTCGAGGGCACCCTATTGATCGATTATAAGCCGAAAGCCAACCCTTCAACACTGCACATTCAAGCAAATTACTGGTTGAAAGAGCCTGTGAAACTTGTTTCAATTTACCAAGAACTTCTTTGGGCTCAAAGAGACCAACTGAAACCTTTCAATTCCACCTTCAGGAACAAGAACTCCTTCCTTTATCCCAGCATTCTCTGCCAGAGGCCGGTCCAGTCCGACACAATTCTCCTTTGGAACACACGAGCAAGTCATTTTCGACTCCACAAGTCTTCCAATTTCATCAACGGAAGTCCATACAGCATTGACAAAGTTCTTAGAGCTACTCAACTTCGACATGTCCTGAAAATTCTCTTCGAAAGGCTTCAATTGAGATGGATGGCACCACGCAAATGAACTATCACCGAAGTACGCAACAAGGAGTCTTCCCTTCTGTCTAATCTTCACCGCATAATCCGACGCATCGGTCGGATCATAAACCTGTCCCGGCCACCATGGATGATTCTTAATCTTACCCCATACAAAATAACCAGAAGAAAACCCACCACCACCATCATAGGCGTCATCTAATTCATTCATTACCATCTTACCACCATCATCTTTCTCTTCGAATTTCACGGTTTCACCGTCATGGTCACCATTTGGCAATACATTTTCAACATCAATTTCTTTACTTTGATCAACGGCACCTAAAAGAGTGTCAAACCCTTCACCACTCTCACTCCTTCCACCATTAACATCAATGTTCCTATCACTTCCTTTCATTTGTAACAAAGAAGAAACCCCATTCATTTCAGAATCCTCAAGTCCCTCACCGTCTTCACCAATACAAGAACCTCCCTTTCCATTTATAGAAACCCTAAAACCATTTTCCCATGAATTCTCGGCAGTAAACCCAGCAGCTTTAGAGCCTTCATTAGCATCTTGGTCTAAAGACTTATCCCCAGAAAGGGTTTCTGTTGTCTTTTCAAAAACTTCCATATTTGTTACCCTGAAAAGATTGATTTTTTTACAATAAAATCAACCTCAAAAAATGAGATTTTTACAACTGAAATATAGGAAAAAGTAAATCAAGAAATTGATTTTTTATTAAAAAAACAGTAAACAAAATACCCACTACCACCTACCTATACTTGAAAATAAAATCCAAAATAAATAACAAATTATAAATTTAATATGAGAAAAATTGAAACAAAGAACTAAAGAAATGAAAACAGAAATAAAGGAGAAGTACCTGAAGATGAAGGAGAACAGTAAGGGGTTCTTTTGTAAATAAATTTGAGGATTGGGGATTTACCACTAGAGGTTTTGGCCTGGAATTTTAAGACGAAGGTCGTACAGTCGGGAAGTGAGGGAGACCTCTTTTTACGGATGTTTGACACGTGGCATTTAACGCCTGCGATGAGGTAGGCAACCTTCAACAAAATTAATTTCGTAGCTCTTATGGAAATAAGTTATAAGTGATTAAATGGCTTTGAAAATGATTACTTATTTAAGCGAGTTAATTGCATTATGTGTTTAAAGTATGAAATTTAATTTAATTGGTCTTTAAATTTTTTAATATTCTAATTTTATTTATAAACTATGACTATAATTTTAAATTAGTCTTTAAACTTTTGAACATTTCAATTTTACTCCCAAACTATGGCAATCATTCTAAATTGGTCCATAAACTTTTTGAATATTTTAATTTCATCTCAAACTATATGTATATACTAATAACATCCATTGCTAATAAAATCATTAGACCAAGTTATATTATTATATATTTGAAAAATAATTTAGGTTAAACTATGGTTGAAATTAATTACATATTTGGATGAATTTGATGATAAATTTGGAATATCAAAAGTTTGGGGACCAATTTAGAAAGAGAGTCATAGCTTAGGGATGAAATTATAACGTTCAAACGTTTAATGATTGAATTAGAAAGAGAGTAATAGTTTAAGGATGAAAATGGAATATTTAAAAGTTTACGGATCAATTTAAAATGAGGGTCATAATTTGGGGATATATGGTGCAATTAACCCTATTTTAAAATATAGAAATTAGTTTTTTGTTATAAAATAAGCATTAATATATGTGCATGGGTGACCAAAACTCGACTTAACTCAAAAATCGATCTTTTCGACTCGACTCGAAAAAATTTCAAATTTAAATTGAGTTATAAAATAAAGTTCGAATAATTCAAAGTTTTTAATAATTAGTGGATTGATTTTCAAGATTGAGTTGAGTCATCGACTTTGTATGGTATATGTAATATCATAAATGTAACACCCCAACCCGTACCCGACTCGGATACGAGTCTGAGATGTTACATTGACCTTTCAAACCGTTTACTTTTACAGAATAGTTAAAAATTCAAATTTGTATTGGAAACGGAATAACTTATATTAAATATAATCAAATAGTTTTACAAAATCGATCAGAGCATATTCAACTCAAATCTCTTAGTACATGCCAACTATATTTAATATAACAAAATACATATGATTCAAAACTCTTTTCTGATATGAACTACGTAAAGGAGGCTGGCCTGTCTTGATCCTCTTAGCTTCTATTCTTGCTTCACGGAACCTACGTGGGAAACACTCACACGCTAAGTCTATGACTTAGTGAGGCATTTAAACTTATAATGGAAACTTGAACTACTTAACCATGCATGAACGTTTCATAAAATGATATCACACAAAACAATATAACATTACATATAGTCACATGTAAACATATACATATATTGTAATTGTCATCACTAACCTTATTTCATTATCATTATTATATTCATTCATATCTTTTAGTCATATATTCTTATACTTAACATTCTTAACTATCATATGACTTAATTAACTAAACAATACATACATCATATAATTCACGTAATACATTTCATATCACAAAGCATATACATCACATACAGTGTATTTGTTGTTATCTCTTTATTAGCCCATGTATACTTCTGAGAACTAAAGATATGTGAGTACATAGAGGTTGTGCACACATGCTATCACCACAGCTCATATAAGGTCCCACTAAGGGCTTATAAAGTTGTCCTGAAGGACCGCATAGAAATGTCCCAAAGGACCGCGTAGAAATATCCCGAAGGACCGCATAGATATCCCGAATGACCACTCCTTAAGGATCACATATATATTCCAAAGGACCAAATATGTGTCCCGAAGAACCGTATATATGTTCCAAAGGATTATATATATATCCCGAAGGACCACGTAGAACTCTCGACTCTTGGCATGCCAACTATACCCCTAGCTCTCATAACACATAACATGGGCATTATCATTTATGTCATTTCACATATTCATATAGGCATGTGGTTCACTTACACGTAGAACATTTTCATATGATTCACATTCATGTATCGCATAGCTTATCACATTTACATGTATTCTTTTTCACATAGTCATATAATATTTCATATGTTCACTTATATCATCACATATACCTTTTCTCATATATCTCATATCATGTCTCATGTAACCACATATGTCTTATCTCATATCATGTCTCGTGTAACCACATATGTCTTATCTCATAACATATATCATATATGCATACCTTCACTTATCTCATATCATATAGTTTATGTTTTGTTCTCTTATTTTCACATAACATATAATGCATACAAGTCATATTCACACAATATCAATCCTAATCATTATTCTATTCATGCAATCATATATTTCAAAATGTAGGAAACAGACTTATCGCAAGTCTAATTTCCCCTCAGATCATATTTCATACTATTATGCACTCACCTGGCCTCACTAGTCCATTCATATATGTACAACTCTTGTGCACTCTTATAACTTCGAATCATCTTGGACTTGTCTTCGATCGATATCTACAAGATACATATAATCGGTAATCACTTATAACCAATCATCAATAATCTAAACTAAATGAAGTATCTAATTCACATTTCACTTTGAGTAGTATCGGTACCCAAAGTATGGTACCGATACTTCCCCAGTTGTGGTATCGATACCAAGCCTGGATATCGATACTCTATTTCGATTCTGCAATCCTTATTTCAAAATGGTATCGATATTTACTTAATGGTATCGATACCTCAAGTATCGATACTACTCCTTTGATATCGATACTCTTTGAATAATTTATAAATTTTTGCCTTATGGTATTGATACTCATTCAACCAGTGTCGATACACATACCCCAATTATCACTCATTTTCTCTTTGAAGTATTGGTATTAAATGAACAGTACCGATACCCTTTGCCCAGAATTTATTTGTCTTACCCAAAAATTTACCAAACTTACTTAAATATTCTACTATAACCTCCTTTTAACCCTTTAAGCTTAACTACACTTATTCTAATCAACTTAGATCACTTTAATCCACCCTAATATCCAATATCCCATATGCACACTTGAATACAATAATGAAGTCAATAAATCAATCTGTTTCAAATTCATTTCTAACACTTCATACTTCTTAATTTAGCTGATGACAAGTCAAATTTAGTTTCAAACTTTACTTACTAACTCTCTCCCCCAAGATTTCACTTATAAACCTCTCATTTTTAATCTTTTTGAAAACATTTTGATGTTTCGATATAACAAATTAAGTGTTATTGAATTTTAAGATTTTATAATCATTTTTTAAGTATATTCAATTAAATTATTCGAATATCAAAATATTACTCCAAGTTTTTCAAAAATCAATTTCAATCCTTACTAAAGTGTAAAATTGTGTTTTAAACTTAAAATATTTTTGAAATAATTTTTACGAAGTATTTCTAACCAAAATCGAGCCAAAAATCAAGTTTATAAAGGGATGTATCGATGCACACATTGATGTTTCGATGCACACCCTAATTCGAATGCTTTTTGTGTACTGATGCACAACCATGTATCGATGCACTCCTGATTTTATTGAAACATCTAAAGTATTTTATGTATCGATGTACAGAGAATGCATCGATACACTCCTGGCTCTTTTGAAACATCGAATGTAATTAGTGTATCGATGCACCCCAAGTGTACCAATGCATTAGGTCAACTAACAATCGAAATATTTGAATTTTACACATAGTGTACCGATGCACCCTTGAGAATGTACCGATGCACCCACGCTCCCACCAGATTTTTAAATAATAATTACTCAATAACGGCTCTATTGACTTCACCAATGATCCCCAACGTTCAGAAGTGATTCAAGGTGTATTTAAACAAGCTTAGGAGCCATTGATCAAGAACAGTTATGAGAGAATCAAAAAGAAATCCTTGAACTTATCGTTTGAGCATTTTCAAGCCTATTTTCATTCAATATTCATTTTGCTTTCAAGAACACCATTTGTGCTCAATTGTATTCATTCTTGAGTGTTCTTTCTTTGTTCTAGAATTGTGCAAACATCTTTCCTTGTGAGGTTTTTCTGTAAGTTTGTGAAATTTGTATTCTTCTCTTCGGGAGAGAGTGTTCTCAAGAATTTGGGGTATAATTCTTGAGGGAGTTGTAAGGTTACTCTTTGTATTCAAAAGAAAGAACAAATTAGTGAATTTGTTGGAAAATCCTTAGTGTGGATAACTAAGGTAGTGGACGTAGACTTTGGTTGAGAAAGTCGAACCACTCTAATTCGATGTGCAATTATTTTCAATTTCTGCAAAAGCTTCCACCATAATTTTTTTACTGCCAATTCACCCCCCCTCTTGGCTATTTCGTCGATCGATTAACTCAATAATTGGTATCAGAGTCTCACTCATTTGAAGGTTTAATCATCTCTTGAATCGATTCGGGAAGAGTTATATCGATATTCAAGTCATCAATGGCCTCCACTTCAAACTTCGACTTTGGTCTTGATTCAATGCCCGTCAATAAGCCTCATTTCTTCAATAGAGCTAATTATGCTTATTAGAAGAATAGAATGAGGTATTTCATTCAAGAAAGTTACATGAGAGCATGAAATATCGTGGAAGACAGATACACCATACCTTCCACTCACTCAAGATTATGGAGTGAAGAAGAGACAAGAATGTTCCAGCTCAACTCAAAGGCTATCCATATAATATTTTGTGCTCTTTGAACAGATGAATACGAGAGAGTTTCATCTTGTACAACTGCTAAAGAAATATGGGATAAACTAGAAGTCACTCATGAAGGTACCAACGAGGTAAAAGAATCCAAAATTAGTCTTCTAACTCATAGCTATAAAAATTTCAGTATGAAACTGGATGAAGACATCAAACTATGACGGATATATTTTCCGTGATTGTCAATGGTCTCAAATCATATGGAGAGATTATTCCAAACGAGAAGCTTGTGAGGAAGTTAGTTTACTCTCTTCCGAAAGCTTGGCAATCAAAGATGA